AATAAAACTTTTAAAAAATGTATTTCTTTATCTCAACATCATAAAATATTTTATATCTTCTACTAAAATATTTAAAGCTTTGTTTTTCTGATTCAGGTTTGTATTCCACCTGAAATTTATTTTTTATATGGTATAAGGAGCACATTTTAAACCATATAGTTAAATAATTATTCCGGCATCATTTATTATCATGTATGGTTTACCATTTTCCCACTGAACAGACATTTGTAATACCAATGCTGTCATATGTTGTGTTACCACATGCGTGTGGTCTGGACTTTATTCTGTTCCATTTCTGGACTTGTATATTCTTGTGCCAATGCAAGAGAATTCTAATTAGAATGATGTTACAGAAAATCTTGCTAACTTATGGGCAAGTCCCCACATCTCGTTCTTAAAAATTGTCATGGATAATCCTGGCTTCATTCTAGCATACGAATTTTTTTAAATGGACATGGAATAGACTTATTATTTAGTTTTAACATCACCTTGTCAAATTCCATGAAAAGTCCTGTTGCAGTATTCATTGAAATTACATTAAATTTATAGATTAAACCTGGAGAGGATTGACAGCTTCATATTTTCTTCCTGTCCAAAAATAAGGACTATCTCTGCCTTGACTTTCTGGTGATAAATGAATTTTTATTTTAATTAATTTATTTTTAAAAAGATTTATTTATTTATTTATTTGAGAGAGAAATCACAAGGTGGGGGGAGGGGCAGAGGGAAAGGGAGAAGCAGGCTCCCCGCTGAGCAAGGAGCCCAATGTGGGACAGGATCTCAGGCCCCAGGGATCATGACCCAAGCGGAAGGCAGCCATCCAGGTGCCCTGATTTTATTTTATTTTTATTTCATTTTATTTGAATTCCAGTATAATTAATATACACTGTTACATTTGCTTCAAGTGTACAATGTAGTGATTCAACAATTCTATACATTACTCAGTACTTCTCGCAGGAAGTGCACTATTAATCTCCTTCATCTATGTCCCCCATCCCTCCACTCCCCTCCTCTCTGGTAACTATCAGTTTGTTCTCTACAGTTAAGAGTCTTTTCTTTTTCTTCCTTCTTTTCTTTCCTTTATCTTCCTTTCTTTCTTTCTTGTAAACTCTACCCCCAGCCTAGGGCTTGAACTCATGACCCCAAGATCAAGAGCTGCATGCCCTGCTGACTGAACCAGCCAGCCGCCGCTGTTGGTTTTGTTTCTTAAATTCTGCATATGCGTGAAATCATGTGGGATTTGTCTTTCTCTGACTGAGTTCTGTCACTTCGCATTATATTCTCTAGATCTGGCCATGTTGTTGTAAATGGCAAGATTTCACTCTTTTTTATGGCTGAGTAATGTTCCATTGTGTGTATGCATGTATGTGTATATACATATATGTATTCTTTATTCATCCGTCAGTTGATAGACATGTGGGCTGCTTCCATAATTTGGCTGTTATAAAGAATGCTGCAATAAACATAGGGGTACATATATCCTTTTGAATTAGTGTTTGTGTATTCTTTGGGTAAATACCCAGTAGTGGGATAACTAGATCCTATGGTAATCCTATTTTTAATTTTGGGGGAAACTCCATACTGTCTTCCACAGTGGCTGCACCAGTTTGCTTTCCCACCAATATCACATGAGGGAACCTTTTTCCCTACAACCTTGCCAGTACTTTTTGTTTCTTGTGTTTTTTTTATTTAACCATCCTGACAGGTGTGAGATATCTCATTGTAGTTCTTTTTTTTCTTTTTTAACGTTTTATTTATTTATTTGAGAGAGAAAGAGAGAGAGAGTGAGAAGGGAGAAGGTCAGAGGGAGAAGCAGACTCCCCATGGAGCTGGGAGCCCGATGTGGGACTCGATCCCAGGACTCCGGGATCATGACCTGAGCCGAAGGCAGTTGCTCAACCAACTGAGCCACCCGAGTGGCCCCTATGTCACTGTAGTTCTTAGTTGTATTTCCCTGATGATGAGTGATGTTGAACATCTTCTCATGTGTTGGTGGCCATCTGGATGTCTTCTTTTTCTAAATTTTTTTTTTTTAAGATTTTATTTATTTATTTGACAGAGAGAGATCACAAGTAGACGGAGAGGCAGGCAGAGAGAGAGAGAGAGGGAAGCAGGCTTCCTGCTGAGCAGAGAGCCCGATGTGGGACTCGATCCCAGGACCCTGAGATCATGACCTGAGCCGAAGGCAGCGGCTTAACCCACTGAGCCACCCAGGCGCCCCTCTAAATTTTTTTTTAAGAGATTTTATTTTTAAGCAATCTCCACATGCATCATGGGGCATGAGATCACAGTCTTGAGATCAAGAGTCAAAAGCTCTACTAACTAAGCCAGCCAGGTGCCCCTATATATGTCTTTTTTGGAGAAATGTCTGTTCATGGCTTCTGCCCATTTTATTTAAGTTCTTAATGTATTTTGGACACTAACTCCTTATCAGGTATATCTCTCCCATTCAGAGGTTGTCTTTCAGTTTTGTTGATTGTTTCCTTTGCTATGAAGAAGCTTTTTATTTTTATGTTGTCCTGATAGTTTATTTTTACTTTTGTTTCCCCTGTCTCAGGAGATCTAGGATAATGTTGCTATGATACGTAGGTATTCTTGAAGTGTTTCACCAATATAGCTATAAAATTTTTTCCATAAGGGTCTTGCTCATTTTTTGTCAACTGAACCTTCCATATTTTATAATTTTATTGCCAAATTTAATGATTTAATGGGATCTTTTAAAATCACATTTTCTAATTTGCTATTCTTACTGACTTTGGATTTTTGTATATTGGTCTTGTATCCAGAAACCTTATTAGTTGTAGTAGCGTGGGCACATGCATCACATTAATAGATCTTTTGATGTCATTATTTTCTTGCGTTCCAGGGATAACCTAATGGGGCCATGGCTAAATTCAATTTTCAAGAACTTGACAGCTCTTAAAAGGTGCCTTTGTTCAAAATCTGTCATTTATATTACAGAGAAATTGAATGACCCTGCAGAGTAACTTCATCTATCAAAGGGTCAAAGGCTTATGCAGAGCTGGCTATTTGGGCCTTCAAACCTAGAACAGCCTTTACCTGCCTCTACTGACCCTTCTCGGTATGCTTTTGCTTAATTTCAGTGACAATTACCACCACATTCCCTTCACTCAGTTTTAGATTCTTTTTAGACTGAGCTCTGGGAGCTCAAACAATACTACTACCTACCATCCAGGTTTTTGTAACTCTCCATGGTGCTTATCATAGTGCTTATACAAAGAGTTCCAACCTAGGAACAACTTGGTATCTATTGATGACTTGATGAGCTTCTCTTCATTAACCCATTGGAATTTCATTTTTGTTCTGGATTTCAGGGAGCTGGGAGCTGAGTTTTGTGCTCGGTGGTAGCACATTCCCTGACTCTGGTTTTTAATATTCATTTCCTTTCTATGCACTGGGCTTATTCATACAGCCTTTCTCTCCCACCCTATAGCCTCTTATTATTATTTTTTTAATATTAATCTTACTCCTATGTTAATGCTATACAATTTTATTCCGTGTATGCTTCCATGGAAGTTATGTCAAATCCTTTTGTGGGTGGGTGGAGTTTAAATTCTAAATAAAATGAGAAATGTTCGATAAATGTTGACTGGATGGAGCGTATGACGACTTTAGTGGGGATGCAGATTTTCCAAAATCATTAGTGTCAGAAATTAATTTTGATGTTTTAGTATCTGCTTATAAGTAAAACACCAAACCCATATTGAATTCAGGGGGGGAAATCCAAGTTTACTGTTAGGAAATAAAAAAGCATCTCACACCTTATAAAGTAACGGCATTTGACATTGATAATTGCACATATATGCCGTTGAGTATTTTATTTCACTAGGTACTGAACTGGACCGCTCGTGAACAGTCGTGGGCTTTTCCTTCTGAGCTGAATCTAAATCTGATTTTCGGAAAATCGCTACTAGAGTGCTCGTGTTGCTCGGGCTGCTGAATCCCAACAACCCTCCTTCAAGGGCATGTCCCGGAGGGGAGCTCGGGTCATTAGCTCAGGGACGATACAAAGCGTTTTGCTCTTTTACTCACGGTCCTTACCCGGTCTCCCAAAGAGACGAGTTGAATGCCCACTAAGTCATGCTTTTCCATTACTCATTCCTCCCTTTCTCCCAAGGTGGCGTGTGGGAGGTGTTGTGATCGGGCTCGGTAAGAATAGGCAGGGACGCTTGCTGCGGGATAATACACTCATCCCCTTGCGTGTTTCAGTCCTGACTGCGCCGTGTTTGGCGGCTTCACCGAGCGAGCAGCTTTCCAAACGCACAATGACTGCACACCCGGCCGCCTCCCATATCCCTCTCAGCCCCTCCGCAGGCGCCAGGCCCCCCAGTCCCGCCCCGCCCCACTTGGCCAAGCTTTGTTCCCCTGCAAGGCGGATCATCAGGTGGGCCGAGCGCGACCGCTGCCGAATCACGTCCTTCGCGGGTCACCCCGGAGGGGACTCTGGTCGCCGGCCTCCCCAGCCCCGCAGCCCCGCAGCCCCGCACCCCCGCAGCTGAGCGGGCGTCCGTGCCACCAGGAGGCGCCCCGGCATCTCCGCAGCTCCTCGCCCCGTCCCCTCTCTGGCTCATCCTGCGATTGGCCGGCCGCCCCGAACTCTAAGCTCCGATTGGTCGCCTCCCGCGTCAATCGCAGGCGTCGGGGCGGGCCGAGGTGACGAGCGGCGGCCGGGCTCGGGGCGGTGTCCGGCGCAGGCGGCTGCGGGCGGAGCTTCGCGAGGACCGACGCGGGTCAGTCAGACGGCGGCAGCCTTGGGAGGCGCCAGCGCGAGTCCGAGTCGTTCCCCGTCCGCCGCAGCTGCCACCGTCGGGTCGTCTTCGCGGCCCGGCCTCCCGCGCTCCCGCCCTCCCCGCGCCGCGGCCCTCGATGCGGGGCCGGGCCGCTGCGTGATGGGGCTGCGGAGCGGCGCCCTATGGCTCGCGGCTGCCGCTGCTCGCGCTGAGGAGCGTCGGTGTCGGGCCCCCCGCCCCCCCGCGCGCCGCGGCGCCTGCTGACCCGGCCCGTCCGTCCGCCCGTCGGTCCGCAGCGCGGCTGAGGTAAGGCGGGGGCGGGGGGGGGGGCGGGCGGCCGTTGGCGCCGCGGCCGCCGGGGCTAGGAGGGGGGGTCCCTGGGGGGAGGGGAGACCGGTCCGGGGCCGGGCGGGGTCCGAGCGGAGGAAGCTCCGGGCCGGGCGAGAGTCGCGCCGCCCCACCGGGGCGCGGGGCGGGGCGGGGGACCCTCCCGGGAGGGCGAGCCCGGGCCTCGGGTGCAGTGGCCTGCTGGGTCGCCCGCAGTGCCCCGCACCAGCCCTCGGCTTCCCTGAGCCTCCGGACTCGGGCCGCGGCCGGCGGGCGGCCGGGCGGCGGCTGTGGGCTGCGGGCGCCGGGCGCGCACTCTGCAGCTCCGGGCGGCGGACGCCGGGGCGCTTTGAAGCCCCGGGTTCCCGGGTCCCCCACCCCCTCGCCCCCGCTGTGGTCGGCGTCGGAGCCGAGCCTGGGAACGGGGTTGTGCCCTTTTGCCAGATGAAGGTAGGCAGGGGCTTGGCGGGGCCGAGGGGAAGCCGACGGCGCGAGGACCGGGGAGGGGGGCGCGATGCGAAGGGAGGGGGCGTGTGGGATGCCGGCCAGCCGCGGGGAAGGCTGCTCTGGTCTCGGCGTGGAGCAGCCCGGGATTACTCTGGCAGCCATATTGGGAGGATGATCTGACAAATCCTTTAGCAGCCAAGCCCGGTTGCTGGAAGGCACCGAGTGACAGCCCTGGCAGCTTTCAGGGTGACTGGCCGCGCCAGAAGCCAAGTTGTGGGGGTTGGGAGCCTGCTCGAGCAAGCCAGTCATTGTTCATACAACACAACTCAGTCCGGCCCTAAAACCAGGATTGAACTCCCGAATCACTTTTTGTCCTTGGTCAGTTGCTAAATGAGCTTCTGTGCTCAAGTGCCTTCAAGATTCCGTTCCTGTTGGGGTGAAATCCGGTGTTTCTCTGTTCATCTTGTGCGGCCGGGGCTCTGGACGTGGAGGCCTGATGGTGATCCCTTACAAGCACACAGGCAGACCCGAGGGTTGCTAAGGCCGGTTTACCGCGACGGAGGCTTCGAGTTAGTGTATTGCGTTGGATGGGTGGATTTTCAGAGTAGCTCACCGTGCAGGGTTTAGTAGCCTGGCATATTCCGACAGTGGGAGAGGCACGCAGCAGTGTTTCTGAGGGTGCAGGTTGTCATCCTTGTGGAATCTGGAGGTTGCTGGAATTAGATTGTCAACAGATCCCTTGCTCACATATCTCTCACTGCTCTAGGCAGCTGCTCTGCCGACACTGAATATGCTGCTTTGTGTCGTAGATGGGTCTGTCTGAGCCCCACGAAAGTGTGGCGATTGGATTTGAATAGCTCTTAAGTGATATCATGGTGGATATTTTACATAAAGGCTGGCATTTTGTGAGCTTAGCTTAGTCATAACAAAATCTTAGCTTGTGTTCTCTTGAGCGAGGTGGTGCTTTCTCATTAACTTGGTGTGGCTGTTGGATTATGGGGCAGGTGGAGTTAAATGTACTGTGTGGGGACGGAGTATGAGGATTACACACACCTTGCGATTGTAAAGCAGATCTGGAGATGATCAATAACTGAATTCAGTGTGAGCCTGTGAATCAGGCTTCTCCTACATGCGTGATGTGGACAGGACCTGGAGGGTGGCATTCCTGTCTTTGTGCCCTTTGCTTTCAAACTCCATTTCTTTTTTTTTTTTTTTTATAAGATTTCATTTATTTGACAGAGACAGAGATCACAAGTAGAGAGAGAGAGAGGAGGAAGCAGACTCTCTGCCGAGCAGAGAGCCTGATGTGGGACTCGATCCCAGGACCCTGAGATCATGACCTGAGCTAAAGGCAGAGGCTTAACCCACTGAGCCACCCAGGCAGCCCCAAACTCCATTTCTTAATGAAAAAAAATTCCTGTAACTTCTCAAGTTGAGCTATCTGAAAATTTTCAGTCAGGGTTCTCTAAGATTAGTCTTAATACTTTATTTTTGTATTTTTATCGTCAAGCTTTCCTTTTAAAACTTAGTTGATCAAAAATGGTGTCAATGGAAACTGGTGCTTTTTGTATTACTTTGACATGAGGGAAATACAGAATGTCTGTTTTAAAACTCCATGGCCCGATTAAGAACTATTTCTAAGTTTTAAATATTTACAGTTACTTTATTAGCAAAAAAAGATCTGAAGAATTGTGGTTAAATATAATTTCAGCATTTGATAAAATCAGACCTGGTTGTGAACCTGATTTGGTGGCAGAATTTTAAGATCTGTGCAGCTCTGCTCTATCGAATGTTTTTCCAAAATTTATCCATTAAGTACAGCTTTGAAGGCTTTAAACAGACCATTTTTCCTTCCAAGACCAGATATGAATGCAGCTTTCCTTTTTTCTCTTTCTCATTTTGAATTTGTTCAGGGAATAAACTCTCAAGAAGAGTGCCAATGGTCTCTCCCAGCCCAGAACTCTTTAGCTCACTTCCCTGCCATGGTCTTGTTCTGGGTACAAAGTAAAGGACAACAATGGGGCCCTGCATTGTAGTTTATAAACCCCTTCCTGGGCTGCTAATCACAGCAGGTCTTTCCCAGGGGTGAAGCATATCCTTTTGATCTTGTAAACGGATATAATTTTCCAAAGCTCTGATTTGAAACGTATAGCCTGTCTACTTCATGTCGTTCTCTTTGAAAGATGGCCTTGTTGGAACAAATTGATGAATTCTGGAGTTCATGAAAGTGTGGATAAATACACATGCTTTCAGAGCTTTTCTTCGTGCAGCTCGTTAGAATAGAAGATAAATGAAGCAGAGGTGACTGTCCTGGGACTTCTCTTTGAGGTGGATTTTTTTGGTTAATGGCCCAGTGATTCATTGATGCTTACTTTTATGATGTTCATTACCAGTTTATTGACAGTGCGTGTAGAGATTTAGTTCTCTTTACACTTTACCGTTTGTATACAGACATGGTAAGATAAAGTTAACTCTAGGTCTTTAAAGCTTTAGTACTACTTAGTGGTTTAGTACAACTTAGTCCATATCGTGGTAGCTTCTATGGTTTTTATAGTCAGAGCCTTTTCCCTTTTGTGTTGCCATGTAATGCTTACCTAGTGCTCAGTCGGTACTTTCATGATTGCTTTGTGGTTGTTCATATATGTGTTTGAAGTCAACGAGATTGTAAATGTCTGATGGATTAAAGAAAATTTTTTATATTTAATATCACAGATGTAATATCACGCTTATTCCAAAGCGTATCATTCAGCTATACCATCCTCCACCATTGTTCTGTGTGATGTCTTTGATACTTGGCTTACTTCCCCCTCTGTCTGAATTTCTGACATCATCCCGGCAGATGTCAATGACTGTATAAACAATAACCACAACAATAATGGCAACATAGCTCGCTCAGACTGAGCCCTTTCTATGTGCTAGGCTCTTTTCCAAGCACTTTACATTGTTCAGTAATTTAATCCTTGTAACAACCTTATGAAATAGATACTGTTACCCCCTATTTTACAGATGAAGAAGCAGAGGCTAAATGACTTCCTCTAGAAATTTCCTACTAGAAATAAGTGCATAACCACTGTACTAAACTTCTTTTGTAATTACCTTTAACCATAAAATTCCTTGACTTCAGCTCAAGCAAACATGAGCTTCTTGCCGTTCCAGTAACGGTATTGTGGTGCTGCCTTCTACTTTGTCATCACTTTCGGATCTGTCTTTTTTTTGTTTTTTGTCTTATTTGACAGAGAGAGACAGCAAGAGAAGGGAACACAAGCAGGGGAGTGGGAAAGGGAGAAGCAGGTGTCCCGCAGAGCAGGGAGCCTGATGTAGGACACGATCCCAGGACCCCAGGATCATAACCTGAGCTGAAGGCAGACGCCTAACGACTGAGCCACCCAGGCGCCCCTTCAGATCTGTCTTAATGTCAGATTGTGCCTCAGATCTGAAGCTCTGATCATTTAAGGCTCTCACTATTGTAGTCTCCTTCCAAGTGCTCTTCCACATTGTCTCCTGCGCCATCAGCCTCTTCCAGACTTTACTTTTTTGTCTCCCTTTAGTACACTTGACTTCTGGGGTGCACTGCTTCAGCTCTTTTCTTACCAGCACTTGCAGTCTTTAGTCCTTTATTATCCCACAAGACCCATTATGCAGATGCCAGCCTTGCATCCTTCCTACCCGCCATACCTTCTATTTTAAGTCTGCCTTGGAGAAATCTCACACAGTGCTGGGGTTTAGTGCCACAATTAATGTGTAACCTTAGGTCTCCTCTGAATCTGTCTTTGGTTCTTTGGTATCTGTTGAAGTAGTTCTCTTTCATTCCTTCCCCTGTTCTACACAGTGACTTCTAAGTTAGATTTTGACTGCTTTACTCAAGCCTCTCCGCTGTCCCATGCTTGGCTTAAAACCTTACCTACCACCTCATAGGGAAAAAAAGGCATGAACTTCCCCCCCTCCTCTTTCTCTATTTAAAGAATTCTCTGCCTTCTTTCTTACCTTCTTTCCTGCAGTCTTAGAGAAAAGGTTACTCTTCCAGATTTCGGCTAATAATCCCTTGGCCTGTGTTCTGGATGTCATCGTTTTGTAGTCTTTAGGGACTTGCTGTGTTGGTTACTCTTTCCCCTTTCGCTGTTTCCCTGCAGTCCCACCTTAGGGCCTTTGCTCTGACTCTTCTACCTAGAATGGTCTTCCTCTGAAAGCTACTTGGCTAACTACTTCACCTCCTTCAGGTCTTCGCTTAAACTTCACCACCTCAGTAGGCCTGTCCTGACCTCCTTAATGCACGTGCACGGCGTCCTTCCCCACCATACTCCTGAACCACCTGCTTTTCTGCACTTTCTCTCCCTGGTAATGCTTGTCATCACATAGCATTCTGTAGAAATTATTATTTTCATGTCCCCACTTCCCGTACTAGAATTGGAATGTAAGCTCCTCTGTGGCAGGGATGTTTATCTGTTTCATTCATCGATTTATCCCAGACTCCTGGAACTGCCTGTCGTATGGTAGGCCCCTAATAAATAGCTGTTGAATAAAGTGTAGAGACA